TAAAATACGGACGAATTTCGTTAAACAGATCAATTTTTAATTAGAAATAACAAAAAATCGAACATGTTATAGAATTGATATTTTTTTATATATTACGTTGTATAAAAAAGTAAATAAATTCAACCTCGGCCATAAAAAAATATTTTTATGTTTGTGAAAATAAGTTGAGGATGTTATTCTTTGGTTATAATGTGAAATTAAAATGTAGATCTTGAAGGTAGATACGATGTTGACACGTGTGGGCCATGATCAAACTGATTTGTGGGTCTTACCGTGCTAGATCTCTTCTCCCCACCTTTTGTTTTATTTATTTATTATTTTATTTTCAAACTTATGCTTTTGCATGCATGAATTGTTTGACTTTGTTGGGTATTTTGTTGCGTAGAGATGAGGCTTCACCGTAACCTCATTGGACCTCGCTCCACTCAATCTAACCAAAAGCTTTAATCCAAGATTTCATTACGCCAATTAACATTAATTAATCAAGGATTAATATTATAATCAAGTTTAAATTACATAATTAACCACCCAAACCTTTTGAGACTTGCCATCGTGTCTGGTGGAATACTAATTCCTTATTAAATTATTTTCGTTTTAATTTCAGCAAATTACATTATGTCACAGACTAATCCTCACGTGACAAATTCACTTAAAATACATTAATTAATTATAAATTATCAACTTAATATTACGAATTATTTGAAATAAGTTAATTAATTAGACAGATTATGTTTTATTATAACTAATTTCTAGTTATCATAATTTTTAAATTCTAAATAAAACTATAATATAAATGTTAAATACATGGTTGATTAAAATAATAATAATATACTAATTATAATATATAATCAATCACAATTTTGTTTAGAAAAAGTCAATCACATTAATAAGGAGTACTTGATTAATAATTAATTATTTGTATTTAAATTAAAAATTTGTTTTTTCTACTTTTTAAAGTGAAACCCATTACCCAAAACAAGAAGATATGATATTACACAAAAGTGAGATTCAAAATCACTCGATATATGTATATATATATATATATTAAAATGATTAATTAAGAGGAAATTATTTTATTTTATTTTAATTAATTAAGAATTAGTTGATCAATCAACTTTGTGGAAGACTTGTGATTAGCTAATATATGTTTAATTAATCGAGTAAACCGAACCAAGTTGGTCCATTTTTAGTTTAATTAATTTTCTAACCTAATCTAATTAATGCGTCGAAGCTACCGAGTTATAGCAAACCAATTAACTTCCAATTAAAGGAATCAAGGATTCTCTCCCACTTTTTTTTTTTTTTTTTAAAAAAAGAAAATAATAATTTAGAATCTTAATTTAGAATCAATAAATTAATTTTGAATTTATGGAACTAGCCTCACTAAAAGTATATATTATAATTTAAAATGAATATCTTATTGTAAAAATTAATATCGTGACAAATATATTTATAAAATATATGTGCAAATTAATGTGACAACTAATGTAAATGGAAAAGTCTATGTATTTTAGATATTGTACATCAATTTATATGGGTATAGATTATTTGAAAAGTAACCCACATGCATATATAACCTTGTCATATTCTTTATTCATGAAAAATCAAAAGATTATAATAGTAACACCCATATATACATCTGTGTATATATATATATATATATATATATATGTATATATGTATGTGTATGTGATGTCATGAGGTGATACTTTGATGAGTAAGTCCACTTGTTCAACGGTTGCTATGAATTTTGATGCAGCCCAACTGTCAAGTTCATTGAATTTTTGAATATAAACAAAATTAATCTCTATTTATTATATTACATATATATATATATATAAAAAGAGGGTCCATGAAGAAAAACAAGTACGTAGACAGAACTTCAATCCCTGCACCATACTCGCATCACATGCAGCACATTCTCCATCCTCGACCTCCATTTTTATTCCAGAATCCAAAATATTATTATTTA